CTTTCATGAAGTGTGTCATTTCTCCTCTGCTACCTTTTAGATATTCTCTTTATCACAGGTTCTAAGTGATTTTATTTTGATACACCTTGGTGTTGTTTTCCTTTAGTATCCTATATTTGGGGCATGTTCAGCATATTAGACTGTGGATTTCCACTAAATTTTGGAAATTTTCTCTGCTATTATTACTGCAAGTATATTTTATGCTCTCCTTGCCATCCCAGGACTCTACACACACACTGGTTCTTTAAAATTGTCCACAGCTCAGTGATGCTCTGTTTTTGTTCATTTGTTTGCTTGTTTGTTCATTTGTTTTTGCGGTGCTGGGAATTGAACCCAGGGCCTGATGCCTGCTGGGTAAGTGTTACCACCAGGCCCTGCTCATTTACAAAGTCTTTCCCGTGAGTTTCACTATGGGTAATTCCTGTTGCTGTATCCTGAAGTTCACGAGTTTGCCTCTGTCATGACTAGTGTGTCCTGTGTACAGTGTGTTTTTCATCTCAGACATTGTAGTTTTCATTCCTAAAAAGTAGGAGTTCAGTGTTTCTTACACTTTTCATTCCTAACAGGTTCAACCTTCCTTCTGGCTTTTTGAACATGTGGAATACAGTTAAACAACTATTTCATTGTCTTTCTCTACTAACACCTTTCTTACATGTAATTTCTGAGTGGATTTCAGTTGACTGACTCTCCACCTCACCCTATCACTAGTTGTGCTTTTCTGCTTCTTTGGGGGCATGATATCTTCTTACTGGACTCCAGACATTGTGAAATTGCCTTCTCAGGTGCTGGCAGCCCAGGGAAGCATCCTTTAATTCTGAGGAAAGACAGCTAGCCATCCCAGAAACTACAGATCTTGCTCATGCCAGAAGCGCCTACTGTTTATCTAGCGGCCTCTTTGAGAATGGCCCAGGGTTCTTAGGGCCTTCATTTGGGGCTGAATCACGAGTGCAAGCAGGAGTCCTTGCCACTAGCAACTCCCAACTAGCCAGGCACCAGGAAAAACAAAAAGACTTGATGTTCCTGAAGGCCAAGCACTCAGACTGGGACTGCTGGCTTTGGGCAGAAGGGAAGATTTAGGAGGGGGTTACAGCCGCCACTGAGGGCTTGCGTTTGGTGGGTTGTGGTGCTTCCCGATTTGTGCCTGGAGATGTCTATAAATCCTCCTTTGTGTTACATTTTGCGTTCAACTGATAAACTGAACTGGTAATTAGGCTTTCATGAAATATCTCTGTTGAAATAATATGAATAGATGATATTTCATAAAGCAGAATAAGCTGACTTAGGTGCAGTTCATGACCAAATATGTTTTTAGAACACCTGGACAAAGGTGCAGAGTTTTGTTGTCTTTTTGGTACTGGGGATTGAACCCAGACCCGCTGCACTGGACGACATCCCCAGCCCTTTTATTTTGAGATAGAGTCTCCCTGTGTCACTAAGTTGCCCAGGCTAGGCTCAATCTTGTGCGCCTCCTGCCTCAGCCTCCTGATGCCATTAATAGGAAGAAACCACCAGAACATCTGTTGCACCAGCTAAGCTTTCCCAGCCTTCCTGGTGACTCAAGGTCAGACCCTGAAGAAGGTCTTGAAGGTAGCTGGTGGAGGAAAGGCCTCTCCAGAGACTCCAGCCTCATCCTTCTGTGTACCCGCGCTGTTAAAGTTTGTGGGTGTTTCCAAAGGCCCTGATCTTGTGTGAAGGGTTTTCCAGGGATATTGGCGTGCCGATGCCCTCCGGAACAGCCTTCCAGCTGAGGTGGTTGCAGAGTTCTCATCCAAGCTCAGGCATCTTCTGTGCAAGAGAGTTGGCCAGTGCTTCTGGCCGGCCTTCAGTCTAATGCGTGTTAGTCATTTGTTCAACATTTTACTAAAAACTCCAGGCAGTGATTAAGGCAGAGTGAGCAGGGCTCCCAGAGGTTAAGTGCAGTCTCCAGACCCTAGTCAGCAAAGCAGGTCCCCAGGAGTAAGTCCTGACCCTTGGGATGTTGCCTCCTGCCTTGTTCTGACCCATTTAGCAACCGGAAGTGCTGGTGAGTACCGTGCTTTCCATAGCATTGTTAGCTTTCTTTGCGCTTCCATCTGCCTGGCTGACCCAGCTTGACCAGCCCTGGCTGCAAACATGCAGACGCTCTTGCTCAAGATAGTGTGAAAAGTTTGCGGAGTGTTGTTCTGTGGGCCAGAGCTCATCCATGTTTTCTGGTTTTACGTGTCTCAGGGACATGACATGGTAGACCCTAGTATCTTCAAGACTTTATTTTCTAGGGACTGTGGGGAGTGTCTGCCAAGATGAAAGTACCCTAGACAAACAAGCAGAAAGAGAAACAGTAGCTTCATAGTGAATCTTCAGTTTCTATCCTAGAGAAGTTCAAACATCCCCCCCGAAGTTTCAAGTTGAGTCTGTTGAAATAAGTTGACAAGAGACAGATTAAGAGAAGAACGATGTACAATTTTATTATGTGCATAAGCGCAGGAATCATACAAAATGAATGCAATCCAGAGAAAGGGCCAGATGGTTGAAGCTTAAGTAATTGACACGTTTTGAGCTATGGAAAGAATTAAGGTCTTAAAGCCGGGGAGGAGAGGTTGTAGCAGGTTGCAGGAGTAAACAGAGCCTGTCTTATGTTGCAAATAATGCCTCTGAGGGGCCAAGAAGAAGTTTTTAAAAGCCTATCTCTGAGTTGGTGATTTCGAACTCTTCCTAGTGGTTAATCTTACCAGGCGATTTTAATGAGGTTCCTAAGGAGGGAGTTTAAGATAGCTGCACTTCTTTAGGAAGGAGCATCCTCAGAGAGACAAGTGAACCCCACAGAAGGCCCTCCCACGCCTGGGGGCAAGAGTGGATGCAAGAGGCTATCTAGAGCTGCTTCTGAGGCAGCGTCTGAGATCTTCCCAATGCTTTTAATCCAGAAATATGCTGCATACTACAGCACCCCAGATTTTGGGGTGTGGTTTTCTGACCCCAACACTGTGAACAGTGTTACTGCCAATCAGAGAAAAACAGTACTACTGGCTGAGAAACAGTCCCCAGCCAGGGAGGAGAATTACTGATTTCAGAGTTTATTAGCACATGCTCCACGCCTAGCACTGGGAAAGGCAGCAGATGATTGAAGGGGACAGACAGGATGGACTGGCAGGTCTCTGCCAGGACCTGTGTGAGCAGCCAGGGGGACCCAGCAGGGTGAGCAGACCTCTCCCCATAGAGTAGCGGTGTCAGGGACCTGGCAGGTCAGACCCCAAATTTCACTGTGGAGCCTCACAGCACAAGATGCTGGGGATCAAAGCAGACCAAGCTGGAACTTCAACAGTGCATTTTCCTCAAAAAAACAGTTCACACATGAACTGAGGGTCCTCAGTCCAAAAATGGGATAAAGTCTCAATTTTACAGCCGTCACCATAGTTTATACAACGTCAGGAAGAATAATCTTGACCTTGTTCATTACCGGCAGTCACATCCTTTTCTAAGGCAAACACTAGTAAAGTTGACTGGCTTGAGTTCACTGAATCTTGGTAATAAGGATAAAAAACTTACTTTGTGCTGTGTTTTGTTTTTGTTTCATTCTGACGTTGAGGGAGAGGAAAGCAGAAAGACTTACGTTTTCGTGAGGAGGCTACCAGTGAGTGGCCTTGGACATCTAAACTGTGGCTCGCTTGCTTTCCTTTTTCAAACAAAGACTAACTCCACGTTATCCTTAGGGTTTGTGGACTGCCTTCACGTCTTGACTGTGATACAAATTCCTGCTTTTTGCAGGAGTGAATCCAAGGTGGGTGACTTTAGCTTCACACTCCATGGAGTGATTTCTCTAATATTTGTGATCCAACGCTCCAGGGACAAACAGCTGGGCTACCACATAGCCCTGTGGCCACAGTGTAAACAAGCTGGGGCAGTGCCCGGTCAGCAGGTCCCCAAGCTTGCCTGACAGGATTATTTGCTTGGGCATAACATCGACTTACATAATTAAGGCACGTCCTGAGTGTACTCTTTAAGTTACAGAACAGGTCGGATCTGGACGGTGACTTCGCATTTACACACATGGTTCCAGTTGGCACTGGAGGCCACACTTGGGGATTTGGGATGATCTGTGTTTTCAGCAACATACAGCCAGATCCTCTGGTGAGGGTGGCAGGTTGCTTCCTTTCTTCTCCCTGGATTAATCCTGAGAGGAAGAGATGCCAGGAAGGGAGTTCAGAAGGGCAGCCATCAACCAGCCGCATGGCGAGGCCACTCACCACACTTAGCTCTGTCCATTCTGAAGAGGCAGACGATTCCACTGAACGTCCCTGTTTGGCACAGGAATTGACACATTTTCAATTGCATCCTTATTTGTAAGACTCTAACGTTCTGCTCACATGCAAAGTAAGCTAAAGCAAAGTCTGCATTTCCAGTGAAATTCACACATTGCAGTTGCTAGGCTAAGTGGCAGGAGAAGGCTCAGTAGGTAGCTCTGCCAGGCAGCAGGGTGACTCTGGCCAGCCCTCCGTCTGCTCTCCGCCCCCAGCCCTCAAGTGCACGCCACAGAGAAAATCTGTGCAGCCCAACCCTCTGGTTTTCAGATGAGTAACTCACGCCAGGGTGGCTCCACTTTCGTTTGCTTGATACTTTGGGATTTGGCAATTTATTTGAGAAAAAGAACAGTCTGAGGCTTATGAGCAACTTGACAATCACTGGACTAGTCGGACTGTTGGGTTTTTCTCTTTATTTGTGTAGAAACAGTAGAGATCGGGTCGAAATCATTCCAAGCCCTGGGGGCAATGGCAAGGGCGCCCTGTGTGGGCTCACGAGGAAGGCTGGGTTGTTAAACCCGTCCTCACACTCCCGGTGTCCACTCCCTCTCATCCTTTCCCTCCTCCTTCCTGAAAACACAGCAAAGTAAAACCAATCACTCATGATTCCGGCGTATCTTTTAGTACTGTATAAATGAAGCATTGAAAAGATCTCTTTTCACATAGGAACAAATACACATGAAGAAGACAAGATTGGATAAATAAGTGACTCTAAGACAGAAGCCAGTGCCTGCTTTGGCAGCACATGTGCTAAAACTGGAACGACACAGAGAAGACTAGCAGGGCCCCTGCTCGAGGATGACCCACAGATTCCAGAAGCGTTCCATATTGTTTTTACCTTTCCTCTTTAAAAAAGAAAAATAAGGCAAAAACCAAGCACCAGCCTTGGTCCTGGGGGGAGAAAGCAGGCTGTCAGTGATTTTGACTGTCTCACTTCTTCTCTGTGCTAATTCAGACATCTCTAGTTTTTCATTTTCAAGCGGAAAGTTCTATTTTGTTACCTGGCTTGACCTGCATTATGCTTTTATCACTTCACAGCCCTGTGAAGCTGTCTTTCCATGCAGTGCATGTACACCTACCTCATCTCTTTTAACTTGCTTGACAAGCCCCTTGTGGACAGATGCTGAGGTCCTTTGCCTGTTTCGCCGCGGTGTTGTGATGCCTTCTTGTCCAGATATCTTCCTATAAGGGAGATTCCTACCTCATAGTGCAGTTTTGCTGATAGGCACAGCCCACTGCATCCCATCTCTAGGTAGTGTGAATGACAGCCACCTCTGGTAGTCTAATGCAGCCAGACTGAGGGGCACCCCATAAGCCCCGGACGCTCACACTCTTCTTGGCCTCTCTGTGTAGCTAGGAATAGGGAAGGGCCCTTCTGAAATGAGAATCTTATGATCCATTCTCAGAAAAGATAGGTCAGAGAATTTACGTAGGGCCAACTCCAAGGCAAAAAGACAGGGAACATTAGAGCAGTATTTCTGGACTTTCTAGTCTGCTTTGAGGAAAAGGAGTTCTATGACCGGTCTGAGAGCAGAGAAGTCTAATTTCTGGGGCATTCGTTTCAGGGAGAAAGGGGAGACCTAAAGGGATTCAGGGAAACCTGGCTTCTTGGGTATTGTCAAGTCCCCCATGGTGTGATGTGTCACTGACCACTGCTGCCCTGGTCTCAGCTAGGGGGGCGCTGTTTTTCTGGGGAGATGACCACATCCTAGTGACCCTATGGCCAGGAGTCACTAAGCCTGGGCTTTCTGGATGCATTCTCTCCTTTACTGTCAGGGAGACAGCTCCCACGAAACATGTCCTCCGTGTGGAAGCAGTTGAGTTGAGAGGGACTTTCCACCACCGCCTTTGACCCTCAACTGCCCTGGGCCCCATGCTCTGGCCAGCACTGCCCGATTCTTGTGTCAGGAGCCACTGTCACCATCCAAGGCAGTTCTCCCCACAGATGCTGCGGTTGGATGCCAACAAGTACATGATACTAGGGCAAAAAGTCAGGAGTGATAGGAGGGCCGACCTACTCCTACAGCTGGGAGCAGGAAAAGCCTGACTTGAAGCCTGGGGTGGCCATCGGGGAAAGCATGGGGACCCCGCAGGGCCCTTGGTGGCAGCCAACCGTGGGAGTGGCCCTCTGCAGCGACAGGGCTTTGTCTGCCCGCACCCTCAGGACAGTGGCTTCACACCCTGAGTGAAGGTCAAGAAGCCCTCTATACAAGTGTGTCTCTTTAATTTGATGATCTAGATTTTCTGCCTTTCAATTTTGAATATTTTTAGCTTCGTCCAAATTAAATGTGTTTTGTTCTGTTTTGTTGAGACATGGTCTTGCTGTGTAGCCCAGGTCTTGCTGTGTAGCCTCCTAGTCACAGTCCTCCTGCCTCAGCCTCCTGAGTGCTTCAGTTATAGGCACGTGCCTTCATGCCGGGCTTCACGCAAACAGGAGAAGGATTTCTGGATTTTGTATGGCCACATGTTTTCATAACATATGTTTCACTTCGATGCACTCTTGTAGAGCCTAAGTTGGTTCAAAATTATTTCTAAATGAAGATTAAAATAACTGAAATATCTAAAACAATGGTGTGTGAGTGGAGCCCAAAGGTTAGGAAATGAAATCCCCTTCATAGTTTTTATCTGTTCCTGTCCCAGACAGTGACAGCGTCTAACAGAAAGCTGATTTTCCCTATTGATGCCTCTTACTGCACGTTAACTCTCCCGCCGCAATCCCCTAGGCAACAAATGAAGCATTGTGAAATCTCTTCTAGTCCTCTCAATGAGCAATCAGACAGTCTTTAAGACAATAAACTTTGTCCATATTGCACTGATTACACTCTTTTATGAAAATGACTAAAAACAATGAATTAGATTTTTTCCTTTCTGGCTACAGTAAGATAATCATCAGAGCCATAACAGGGGACAGTGGGCCTGGAATCCGGGCCCCTGGCGCCTCGGCTTTCTTGGATGAGGGAGAGGGGTGGGCACCGGGACGCGGCCCAGGCGCTGATGAATCCGAGCTCTTGAGCCAGCATGGGCCACTGTCCTCAGTACCCAGGGAGGGCTGCTTGCGGGCCACCTCGGATACCGGCATCTGAGACGTGCGGGTCTCTTGTAGGAAAGCGTGTCGTGTTTGCGTACCACTGTGCTCACGCTTTGCGCTGCGCTGCTTAGAGGGTGGTGGCGAGAAGACGGCACGCACGTGGGACACAGATGCTCTTTTTTTCTGGCCGCAGACCCCCAGGTACAGAGCTTCCTGTGTTATCCGTCGTTCACACACACTTTCTATGTGTGTAGCACCTGGGGTAGAGTTCAGTCAGTCCCTAAAGCAGTCGGCAGTACTTTGGCCTATCTCACGAAGAGGGAATACAGAACACCAGGCCTCTTGGCCACCTCGCCAATAGAATCAATTTAGATAAACACAGATCGCTTTTCACCTCAACTCAGAACACGTTCTTCTAAAAAAACCCGTCGTTCACACACACTTTCTATGTGTGTAGCACCTGGGGTAGAGTTCACAGTCGGTCCCTAAAGCGGTCGGCAGGACTTTGGCCTATCTCACGAAGAGGGAATACAGAACACCAGGCCTCTTGGCCACCTCGCCAACAGAATCAATTTAGATAAACACAGATCGCTTTTCACCTCAACTCAGAACACGTTCTTCTAAAAAACAGTTTCATTTTTAAACAGTAATCTGAACTTTTTGAATAAAATGAAGGACATAGCACACTTAGTCCTGCTCCCTTCCAACCTTGTCCTCCGTTCCCCCTCACTTGAAGATTTTTGGTTCTGTCTCCACAAGTATTCCAGAGAGGCAAGACAAAGAGACCACTTTGAAATCAGCAAGAGAAAAACATACAGAAACACTTGTGTGTGCACCACTGTTTTACAGAAAGGAAACACGCTGCTCTGTGCTTTGGTTTTATCATTTACCTTAAGTACCACTCTTTCACCTCACATCTTAGAGATCAGCATGATCGAACGTGGCTCCGGAGAGCCGTGCAGGGAATGGGAACCGGCTGTGGAGCTAATGGGATACACTGAGGTAAAACACAGCATCACTTTTCCCTCCTCAGAATGTGTTCTTCTAAAAAATAGTTTCATGTACAGAATAATCAGTGGACATTTCGAAGTTTCGAATAAAGGATGCTGCGCTGCTCCCCTCTGGCCTCAGCCCCATTTCCGTGGCAGGTGGGTACCCACTGGTGAGCAGGCAGTGCCCCCGGGGCAGGAGAATCACTGCCATGTTGGCTCACTTTCGGCACGCCGGGGACTGTGCCACCTCAGCCCTGCTGGGAGGTGCTGTCGTGTTTGCATTTTCAGAAGAGGAAAGCAGAATGTCAGACAGTTAAACCCCCGGCCAGTGAGTGCTTGCTCCCAACACTGCGCCCGCTGCCCCAGCCATCAAGTCTATGATTCCCTGCCCAGCCTCCGTCTTTCAGTTGGCAGAAATCAAGGAGATTCTGTTCACAGTGTGATAGATGAGTCCTTCTATCACACATCCTTAGCTGTTGCAAGGGTTCTTTTCAGTTCTGTCTCCTCCAGATTTTGCACGTTCTCTGGAAGGCTCTCTGTAAGTCTTTGCAGTCCCTCCCTGTCCGTCTGAACAGGGCAGTGTAGGGCAGCTGCTGACCTCCCTCTCTCCACAGATCCGCGTGATGGTGGACCTGTGCAACAGCACCAAGGGCATCTGCCTCACAGGTACGCTGGGGACCCCACCCAGAGCCCCTCCCACAGCCGGCACTGGTGCCACCAAGGCCGGGGCAGGACGGCACCTGGGAACACTGGCCTCATAAAAGTGCATGTTGGTTAACTTCTACCAGATGTTTCTAATGGGCTAAGAACCAACTGTAATATAATTATGAAAATAATAATATTTTCTGGTATTGCCATAGAAATAGAGCCGTGGAAAATTACCACGACTTGGGTAATTAGAAACTGGTGACACCGTGAGCCAGGGCCAGAGATGCTTTCCTCATGCCTGCTAGTTTTAGAGGGGGAAGACCTTGCTAAGTGGTGAGGTTCTTGGACCTGAGAAGTAGTCATCAGATGTAACTGTTGCCCTAGGTCATGTATATATCGTGGAGAAGAAGTTCTGGAAGGAAACTGCTAAGTAGCAAGAAATTCTTTTCACAGAGACTGGAGACTTTTCTTTTCTTTTCTTGTGTTTTCTTTTTTTTTTTTTCTTTTTTTTTTTTTTT